GCAGCACTTCTCTCGGCACATTAGAGAGATAAGCCTAATGGAGGTCCCCAGGCGGTGAGACGTCGCACCACACACACTCACACACACACTATCACCCCCTCTCCGATGAAGAGGATTTCCCCACTCGCTCAATCTCTCTCTCTTCCTCTTCTCGTTCTCCCTCGTTTTTTTCTCTCCAGAGAGTAATTTCACAGTTCGCTCCAAAATGCCCCCCAGTCGTTTCTCTAAGTCCCTGCTACATGCTGTCAGCCACATCTCCTCTGATGACCAGTTTTGGTCCCCTTAAACCAGAAATATAGATTTTATTTTTTTGGGAGGGAAAAGTGAGACTGTTTTAATGAGCCTAAATCTGCAGTTCTCCAGTCTCTCTCTCTGGGTGACTTCCAACTTTTGAGGGGCTTATGGCAGCAACTTGTAGTCACGATGACCACAGGGATGGGCAACTTGGTCCTGGAGGGCCACTGTCCTGCAGAGTTTAGCTCCAAACCAGATCAACTCATCTGTCTGAAGCTTTCTAGTAAACCTTAAAACGTTGATTACCTTGTTCAGGTGTGTTTGATTAGGGTGGGGAAAAATCGAATCTCCAGACAACTTGCAACCCGTGGTTTTCAAACCTTATACCCGTGAAAGTACACTGGAACGGCAGTCAAACCCGTGACTTTCCACCCGTGAACTCGTACTAGATCCATGTACTCCCACTTACGAGCTCTGACGTCACATAGCCTGCAAAACCATACAAAACAACAATGGCAGTGCCTACGGATGCAGTGTTTTTGTAGGCGGTACAGGGTGAGAGTACACTTTAGGGCAAAATAACGTTAACTAGTTTTCAGTCTGTTGAGTGCAAGGATAAATTAATAACAAATACATTACCAAATATACAAATAAAGTAAAATAAAAGGTCCAACAGCTTATCTTGCCTTATGCGCAGTTTTTCCTCCTCAGTTTCCCTCAAACAAACAAGGAGTAAGCACCTTTTGGCGACAGAAATTATTACAAATGCGCATAAGCCTGGTAAGGTCCACCATGCTGGTTTGTTTACATCTAGCTACCACAATTCCTTGCGCTCTGGTAGTTTGGCGTGAATGACCTGGAATGCTACAAAGTCAGGAGTCGTGGTTTGAAGTCGTGATTTACGTGCTCAAAAACCTGCCTGGAACGCAGCATTAGATGCATTGCGATGCGGACGTGGATGATTCTGAATCGATTCACAAATGTAAAAAAAAAAAATATATATATATATATATATTATAATAATGTAGAGATTCCCACCCCTAGTTGGAGCTTTTTTTTTTTTTTTTTTTTTTAAATGAAAAAAAAAATTCAATTATATTGGATCCGTGCATTGTCTTAAAGTGACAGCAGCCTAATACTCTTGTTGATGTCCTTGTTTTTAATGTTAACCAAACAAAAGACTAACTGCAAAAAATCACTCGCTGCTCTTTTTTAATTTAATAATGATTAATCTTTTTAATTTATACAGTAAAGACTTCTTAGTGTTCTCTTACGTTTTGTTTACTTTTTTTTGTTTACTACCTAATCTGTATCAAATTACCTGAAAAGCACTACTCATTTGTATCTTTGTTCTGTTGTTGTTGTTTTTTTTTTGTTATTGCTTGTAGTTTATTTATTTATTAATATTTTATTAGACTTTTTACTTTTTAATAATGTTTGAAACAAATTCTGGCGAGTAAAATAAAATAATTTCTAGCCAATGGTGAATCTAGCTTCAGTGTGTCTGTAGAGGGTTGAATTACTTCTGTTACATTGTGTCTTTTAAAAATACTATATTACAATATCATAGTAATAATAATTATTCTTATTATTATAATGTTAAGTTGAGCCATTTTTCACTATTTGTACATGAAATGCTTTAAACCTCTTAAGAACTTGAGGTAGTCCATATGTATTTTGTTGTTTCTTTGCAATGCAAACACTTTTTTTTTAATCCGGTCCCTCCATATATCTTTTGAAAAATGCCGTTTTCACCACCATCTCTGGCATAATGTAGAGCACCGACGTGGTTTAGTGCGGGCTTCAGAGCAGGTATTCTTTTCTGGAAATCATTATGCATTGAGGAGGCCATTAGCAAAACGAAGATGAATGGGTGAGAGAGTCACCGTGATAAAGTATTGGAGGACGACAGTTTAATCTAAAATGTTCCTCTGTGGTCTTTCAACATAGTCACTATGTCTTGCTATCGTTTGCCTTTTATTATTAAGCTGTGTTATGGCAGAAAATTTGTTCTCTCTCTTAAAGGAGAACTCCGGCGCAAAATGAACCTTTGGTCTAATAAAACATTGGTACCTAGTAGTTAACCATTCTCTAAGATTTGTTTTCAGGATAATCAAATGTAAAGAGTTTAATCTCTGAAACTTTTTAGTGTATAACACTACTATATGGGGGCATTTAATAAGTAAAAAGAAATCGCTAGTTAATACCACTAACAAGGCTCAAAATAGCCCCACACTAACACAGTAACATGTGAGGGTCCCTACATGCAACCAAAGCATTGAGAACTTTGTAAGTGTACAGACCGTTTAATAAGAAGATACTTTATAAAGACAAAACAATTCATGTATATACTGCTGGAGCCATCTTTGGAAAACCAATGTTTTATTTATTTATTTATATTTTATTTATACATGAGTTATTTATATGAGTTGTTTCTTAATGCTTATAACTGTCTTAGTTTGGTCAGTGCATGCACTGACTCTCACTCATCAGACAAGTTTTTCAAGAATGAGTTGTTTAATCCAGCCATTTGCACAGTGACTTGAAGATAAGCCTTCTTTTAAACTGTTTCCTCTTTATAGACATGCAGGTGAATATTATACAACATATGATAAATGAAGAAATGAACAATCAAATTCTTGATAAATTGAGAGGACATGTATTTATCTTTGACATTTACATTTTTTTTCTTTAAAAATTGAGCTAAGAGTGTTTTGTCTCTAATCAGATGCTTCAGACGCAGTTCTGTGATGTCATGAGATACTTGGGACAAGTCTCAGCATGACAGGAATTTGATTGACAACAGTTAATGAGACGCGTACATCATGTTTCTTTAAATTAATTGAGGGGTTGTCCTGTTCCTTCCTGACTGACAAGCCACCTCCTCACTGCTTGATCCGATCATTTCATCAGTTTGTTCCACTTGCCCACTCTACGTTCTTTGTCTGATCTTTGGAATAGTACTGTTGTTATTACATAATGTAATAACTCTCACGCAATGAGATCTCGCAACATTAAAAAGCGACAATTTCTTGTTGATATCGCCATGACTGGGTGTGAAGGAGAGTGTCGTCGTGTTCCAGGAAGAGCGTGTCCACCACAACATGAGCCATTCTGAATGGCACGTAACTTAAATTTCACTTGTGCATTCACGTCATTTTGTACAGATATAATTTTGTAATATTATGTTTATTTTGTATATATCTGATTAATATCAAATAGGATGTTTCTTTGAGTTTAATAAAGGCTAACAAAGTGCTCAACGGTTGTTCATTCAGCGCGCGCCACTCAACAAGAATGCACGACTAATAATAACGACGGATAATTTGGGACTGTCATATTACATAACATGAGAACACAATTTTATTCAATGGTTGTGAATTCGTTGGGTTTAGTTGCCGTTTTCAGTCCGCTGTTCCAGCACGTCCACAACAGTCACACATTCAAGCACGCATCAGAGGCGGCGTTGGCGACACATTGTATTTGTCGTTATATTTATATATTAAATAATTAATTCATCAATCACATCAAAATATTTTACAATCCTACGAACCCTTTATTTAGATTAAAAACCATTCTTATTAAAGGTTCTCAAAGCGTTCCTGGGTGTTGACGTTCGAATATTTTCAAACAAATCGGAGCTAGACCCGCCCTCCTCCGCATCTCATCTCCTCCCCCTCCCTTCCGTGCTTCCTGAAATAATTGTGAACGTGCATAGTTCTAGCTAATTATATCCTTGTGTGGGTTTGGCGAATATAAGCGTCAATTTAGAAGAAAAAAAACAATTTAACGTTACCCACCTGTCAAGCAAAAATAGAGCAACCTGACGTCGGACTGGAAGCCCTTCTGCCGCCGGAGTTCTCGCCATCGTTCAAAAGCTTTGCTACCGATGTAAATTCGGAACTTCGCACATTCTTTATCCGACTCCTTCTTTTTAATTTGTTCCTCAGAACGACGTCTCTTTGGTCGTGTGTCGGTAATTTTTCAAACTTCCCTCTGATGCTTCTATCTCCTTCACACACACACCCCCTTCATGTGCACGCGCACTAACCCCCCAGACCCACCCTCAAGTACTTCTTGCCAGTGATTGGCTGGAACACTGTTTGTTAGGTTTCGTGGTCCGGGTAAGACATGATTGTTTTTGTTGCCGTTTTTGGAGCCTGTGGTGTCTACAGAGACCGCGTTTTTTTACAGTGTGTTTAGGGGACAGGCAGCTAGCCGATAGTGAGGAGACGTTTGATGTATGTGACAAATGTTTTTGCCCAGCATCGCTTAGAGAACCTTTAATTTGGTGAACAGCTTTTTGAGCAGCATTTGCAGACCCATTAATGCTAACGATTAATCAATTAATTGATCGTTAATTTAAATGAAGATCGATCATGGGAATTTGTGAAAATTGACTTCCCTAATATATATAATATGTATTTAAAATGATCAAACAATTAAACAATAAATCGTGAGCTTAGAATTATAAGGTTCTATCTCCACTTTTGGTTGAAATTAAATTTGACATAATCTGATCCATTAGGTGTTTATTAATGCCTGTGTGGTGGTGTTTTTGTAAAAAAAAAAAAAAAAAAGATTAATAGATAAAGCTATAATAGAAGATTATACTACATAACAGTTTTGCCAGCTGGGATGTAAAAACTTTGATGCTCAATATCTCAGAACTACCCTAAACGGAGATAGCCTTATAATTCTAAGCTCACGAAATGTAAAAATAACATATCTTATTGCTCTCATATTTGTCCATTTCTTTCATTCAGGAAAGCAGTGGACTTGACTCTCAGGAAGAGCGAGAAGAGGACAGTGACACAGTACCTAATCCAAACCCAGAGGAGCAACTAAATACAGTGACTAGCACACTGACCATGCAAGAGTACTTTGCCCAGCGGATGGCCAAGATCAAGAAGGCTCAGGGAACTTGTGACCCAGCCATCAGCAGCAACTCACAGTCTCCACTGGCTGCATCTGCCTCCATGGAGGATTCCCCAAACACCAGTGATATGGAACAGTCCAAAAAGAAAAAAAAGAAAAAGGACCGAGATGGCACAGTGGAAAATGTAGAGGAAGATGCCCTGACCTCAGTGACACAGAAAAAGAAAAAGAACAAGAACAAGAGGAAACGAGAGGAGAGGGAGGAGGATGAGGCTGAAGTGTGCAGCGCCCCTACAGTAACGGATGGATCCACTGAAGAAGAGGCACCAAAAACAGGGAAGAAAAAAACCTCTCTAGAGGTTCATGCAGACTTGCGTACGGACTTGAACGTTTCAGATAAAAAGAAAAGGAGAGAACAGGATAAAGAGGAGAGAGTGATTGACAAAGTAATGCCCAAAAAGAACAAGAAAAAACAGAAAAAATGATTTTGTACTACTGACTGCTCTTCAAACTTATTGGCATTTTGATATCATGATTTTAATATTGAGATCACCGAAATGGATGGCAATGAAACCCATGAATTTAAATTTATAATTGGTTTGTATCTCCATACTTAAACTAAATCAAAAAAACATTAAAAACATGAGTCAACTAAAAGTGAAATGGTGTGTTTATTTATATGTAAGAGATTTTTGTTGTTGTTAGCCTTCCAGAAATTAGCATTATGCTTTCTACAAGACCAAAATGGGCGATAGGTGTAGGCCGTAGTATTTATACTATATACTAATATATATATATATATTAGTATATAGTATAATATATATATATATATATATATATATGAAGAGTTCAGATGCAAAAGCCTCTAAGTGCCAATTGAAATTTTCTTCTAGAATGATCATTTTTATCAAGCTTGTATATTTAAGTTCAGTGATTTCACTTAAATGGCAATAATGATTACCTATTAATTGTTATTACCTATTAATTGTTATTTAAGTGAAATTACTGAACTTAAATATACAAGTTTGATAAAAATCATCATTAAAGAAGAAAATTTCAAATGGCATTTACGAACAATGAACCTCATTGGTTCTCACGTCAAGTGAACATGCTTTAGCTTCCTTTAACCGAGTTGATGAATGTTTATATGTGAAGAAAATTCATTCTGTTCATCATATAAAGGGATCTAGTCTTCAGAAAATTTGGACTAAACCATTCAATTCATTAAGTTTCATGAACTTCGAAACTTCAAAGTTGTTGTGTCTGTCAATGGAGAGACAGAAAACACTCAGATTTCATCAAAAATGTATTCATTTGATCTGTATTCATCAACTATCCCTTTAAGTTTTTAATACTGTTTCTTGTAAGTATGGTCAATCATTTCAGTATGAGTTAATGAACATTTATTTAAGACTAAACTGTTTAAATTTGACTAAACGGTTTGGACAAAATGGGGGGACGGGATAAAAAGGTATTCTACATTATGGGATAAATACAGGCATAATTTGTCAATATCGATGTAGTTTGCCTTTTTCATAATTTATGCTGGACTAATTTGATTTGTGTGAAAAAGGAAAAATTCAATTCCAATCCAAATTCTGACCCATATCCTAAATTCTGAGTTCCACCCAACTATTTAATACTGATCATACATTTTTAGATCTTAAATAGTATGACATTACTATGATAATACTTGGCACATGCACATTGAAATGACTGAAAAAAGTCAAAGCAAAGGTACTTTTTATCTTGCAACATCTTTGCAAAGCTGTTCCATGCATCATCCTGTGTGGTATACAAGGCTACCGTGTTTAAAATAGCTTATTTGTAGTGTATTGTGAAATTTGTGGCAGCTCCCATCAAACTTGAAAAATCATTTTTTCACACGCAGAACTTATGCATGTTGACAAACCAGCTCTGTAATATTGTTTGTACTTAAAGGTATCTGTGTGTTACCTCCCTTTACTCCCTTTAAAACATTTGCATGAGATGATGGCTGACGATTGATTTTTTTTTTTTTTTTTTTTTTTTTTTTGTGTGTGTGACTAAAGTCGTTCCTATTTATTAAGTTCAATTGTTTTGTCAATCATTTTATTATTATTTTATAATTGTCTTGATTCGAATTTGGCTAGATTCATCTTTGTCTTCTCTGGGATAACTTGACCAGCCCAACATGTCAGCAATGTTTACTGTCAGTATATTTTATACAAATAGACAGTTTTGGAACATGGATCATGGGACTTAATTTTAATCTCACCTATTATGCACGTATCCTTAATGATGACGCTAAACAAACACGTCTTCCTTTTTGTGAAGCTCATGATTAATTGTACGACCCTGCTTTTCTTTGTCACGCTAAATGGGTGGTTTTGAGGTCTTTTCAGAATGATAATGTTGTGTTGTGCTGAGCTTATCCAGTGTATGTTAAGTATATATGACTGAAGTCTTGAGATGCGAGAGTAACAGGCAACAAATACGATGCTTTTGTTTAAAATCCTAATGACCTTGTCAGACGGTCAATATTGATACTCTGAAAATCTTCCATACCAAAGGATGTCCTGTTTTACCAGATGGAACTGACGTTTTCGCGCGGTGTTTTGTTCACCTGTGTGGGTATCTGTCAAGAATTAAAGACACGAGCAAAAAGTAACATTTTCAGGACGCCGTTTTGATAGAATAGCAGAAACCCCTTCAAGATAATCTTGTTTGGAGTCTGGGTGGGCGTATGGAGCAAAATGAGGGAAAAGGAAACGGACAGCTTATGTTATTTCGAACAATAATAGTAGAATCTGCCGAACAGCAATGGCTTAGTTTGTTTACATGTCTTGACTGCTGCTATAAATGGCATCTGCTTCTGAGGTAAATCTGAAAGAATCGCCATAGCCGTTTATGATGATGAAATAATAGAGCTACATCCTACCTATTCCCACGGTCCATGTCCAGAATCTTTTGAGGTGCTTGTCAAAAGGATAGGGATAAGGGATAAGATAAACAATTGTTTCAATTGATTAAAAAAAGCATATAAGGGCAGATTAAATCCTTAAATAGGAATAGGAGTTCCATCACATTTTGCTTATGTTGCCTTCTAGCAAAGGATAAATGTAATGTTTTTAAATGTATATTAATAGGCCTACACATTAAAATAAAGTGGTCCAGCGACCAAAATTAAATCTTCCATAGGTGCTAATATTGTATTTGATCCTGATTTAATTTAATAGGTAACAGCAATAAATGTTGAAAATATCTTATAACTTAATGAAAATGTTTGTCATGCATATTTTTGCAAAACATTAAATATGTTAATAAATTTAATCAGAGGTTTTTATTTTGTAAATTTGGTGACAAAAATGGTAGTTAGTAACGGAATCTAGATTTCTCGTTTTAGGCCTAATGTATTCTGATTCATTTGATTAATTTTAGATACTATTTGACCTTAACTCATTTATCATATTGATTTGAATAGGATTTTTGTGTACTGTATTGATATTGATTTTTCTTCTTTTTTTAAGGGGAATTTGTTTTTCCATTCTTTGTGTTCAACAAAATGAAATACATCAAACATTACATTGTGTCAGGGTTTCCCCAAACTGGGGTTAATGAAAGAACTGCAGAGGGGATTGAGAGTCGATGAAAAGCTCTTCAAGTCAATCATAACAAAATGTAGAATTAAAATGAATAAAATATATATTAAAAAAATAAAACAATTGAACAATAAAAATATTAATATTTTATTTATTTACCTGCATGTCAATGTAACCATTATTCAACACCATATCCTGTTAAATTATTGAAAAAATGTACTTAAAACCTCAGGGGTCTCCAAGTAAATATTTTAGGTCAAAGAGGTTTGTCTGGCAAAATGCATTACATGAACAAACAATAATACACATTAAATGGCAGTGATATTATACATTTAAAGTTTTGTTTGAAATATTTTGTCCAGATCAATAATTATCAAAGGTCACTTTGTATGAAGACAGTGTTTCACAGCTATATATCAAGAAACTTAATTTAATTAGCATAATTATTCATAACATATTTTAAAGGTGCATTTGTCCCAAAATTTAGAAGCATCACAAATATTTACATGGCCATTCTGTGAATATATTAAAAGCTAAACAGCATGACACACAATCTGATTTTAGAAAGAAAAAAAATAGAGTGTGGATAGAAGAATTAGGGAAAATCAATAAATTATAGTTTACTGCCATTGTGTGAAAAATGCAATAATGTAATCCATAAAAAGTTATAAATTTGATTATCAACAAGGTCTGCAAGTAATACATTTTTGGAATCTGATTATGTAATCAAGATTACATGTAATCACTGAAAAAAAATCAGTTTTGCCATCACAGGAACAAATTACTTTTCCAAATATGTAGAAAAAGAGCAGTCTCAGTGAGATGTAAAAAAAAAAAAAAAAGTCCTTCCGACCCCAGATTTTTACATGGCCCTTTGAAAATATGGTAATTTTACAAAATTTATGAACAGTTTTTTTGTTTTGTTTTTGTTTTTTAGATTAAGGGAGCATTACAGTTTAACCTCTAAAACATCTTATCCATAAGATCTTTCCTTCATGCTGTGGAAATACAAAAAACCGGAAGACTGAACACTAAGTTCAGTGACTACGTTTACAAGCTGTCAATATTCGGGTTATGGTCAGGTTAAGGTCACTATTCGGGTTTCTGAAACATTCGGAATAACCCGTTTATGTGCATGAGCAGAGAGAGTTAAGGCTGATTTATACTTTTGCGTCAGACCTACGGCGGAGCCTCTACGCTATTATAGCGTAGTAGTCTATAATAGACTACGCGTTGGTTTTCACCAACCCGATCTCACGACCAAGTCGTACGAATTCGACGAATGATTAAAAAGTGGCTAATTCGTAACAATTCATACGACCTCACTCGTACGAATTAATACGATTTTGCTAAATCGTACATATTTTACGAATTGGCCAATTCGTATGAATTCGTACGAATGACCTACCCCTTACCCCGCCTCTAAACCTAACCATCACGTGGGTTTAGACAAATCGTACGAATTTGTACGAGTGAGGTCGTACGAATTAGTACGAATTAGCCACTTTTTAATCATGCGTCGAATTCGTACGAATTGGTCGTGAGATAGTGTTGGTTTTCACTTATACCTCTGCGTCGTTGTTTGACATTGACACGCAATTACACATGCAGAGGGCGCATGTGAAACCCTGGGACTCTTGCTAAACATTTCTGAATGATAATTTGCTAAATTTTTTAACTTTATACACATTTGCTTTACACAATAGCATCTGACTGGCAACAATAGAAACTGACTGGATACTCATGTTAAACAAAAACAGTGTTGGCAAGTTTACGTTCTTGATCAAATCGAAAATAACGTCATAAAACATATATATATATATATATATATATATATATATATATGAAAAATACATTTACAACATTACTTATACAAAATTCAGGTCCATAATGTTTGTACGCGTTTGTCGTAGACACAAAAAATAGCATAACTAGTAGCCTAATGGTTATAAAGCCAGCGCTGACATTTGAAAAAAAATAAAACACAAGGCCACGTCTGGAATTATACATGCAAATGCAAATCCATTTAAAATGATTAAGTCTTAGCCTACTTACAGGTTGTGGCCCAACAACTGCTGCCTCTTGTTTTAAAGTTAGAACTGCTTCATATTTTAGTAACAGTTTCTTGTTGAATCCGGTGTTGAATTCGTGGAGATTCTGGAAGTTGTCTTCCGTAAAATGCGCAACACAGAGAGCTAGATTACGATCGTCATTTTCAGGAACATAATCAAACATAAATTGTATCCATTGTTGATGAAGTACAGTGTCCGTGGGAAGCTCGAACACAGAAGACCTGACAGCTGGGTGAACGCAACACACTCGACGAGCCGCAGAAATATGATCATGCCCTTTTTTGCATATTCCGGAGGGAGGGGTTGATGCAAATGTGTGGGTTAGTGACGACTAAAACCCTGCTGTAGTCCCAATCGAGTCGTTTTTGTAGGCAATATACTTCCTGATTTTTAAAAGACGATATCTCTGCTTACAATGAACTTTCAGTGCTGCAACTTTGCAGATACTGTTCATGCACCAACAGCAACATTACACACTATTTAAAATGAAAAAAGTGAAATCGCAGTCATTTAAATCCCCCCCTTTAAAATTCGGGATGTGAGCATATTGGGGGTTTTGCCGGTGTTTTTATACCCGGTCGCGCAAGGCCATAATATAATGATCTAAACCCTGCAGTCATCGTAAATCAAACGAAACAGGAAATAATGCCTCAAAATACAGAACCGTAAAGATGTTTAGTGACTGTTTATGTTTAGACGACACAAGTAGTGCACCTCACAGCCAAACGTGCAGGTAGGACGGGGAGAGCAGGAAGTGTCATATTCTGTCGTAATGTTTTTTTGTTTTGTTTTTTTTTGCAATCTGGGGCATCAAACTCCTCTTCCTGTTCCTGCAAGGAATGAGTCCCACAATTTAATGGTGTTCATCCTCTGCTTGTCCGCTGCACTGGAACCTATGAGCTCTCAGCAAATTCAAAGGTCAGTCACAAAATGATACTTCTAACATTCATTGAGATCAAACATGATCGTTTTCTCTGTTCAGATTCTCTTAAGTAGAGCATTGGTTTATTCTGAACTTTTCCTGTCTTTCCGGTATTTCTCATGAACTACCTGTCAACAGGATCCCGACCGTCTGATCTTGACAATGGGGGTTCAATCTACCCAGCAGTCCTCAAACATATCAGGATCTGAACTATCTGAGGTGTGAATCATTGAGCACAACGACCGGTTTTGATGAGTAAGATGATGGAAAACTGTTGTCAAGCTTGTGTTGTGACGCTGTTAAATAACACGTTTCCTTCAGCAGAAAGAATAATGAGACTAGCCTTAAAACACATTATGATTTCTGAAGAAATGTCTTCAAGGATGTATGCAGGCGGCCCTATCAAAACAGGTTTTAACATCTATACCAACTAAATATAGCCTATCTTTAAATCAGCATTTAAACACCACCATTAAAACCATGATCAATTGATGACATAATTTTATGACTAGTCCTTTGTAGCAAAGGGGAAACCAGGTTAGGTTACCACACTTTTTATTTGTTTAATATCTCTAGTGGAACAATCGTTAAGATAACTTTAATTTGCACCCAGTTGGTGAAAACATTCTCAAAAAAATGTGTCTTTAAAAAAAATTGTGCCAGCCAACACCAACATGCACTTATTGTTAATTATTCAAATTTTATATCCAAATGCCAAATAACCCCACTCACACATTCTCAAGCCTGGCATCATCATTTATTGCAGGCTTCCAAATTTTAAATCAAAATTCATAAAATGGATAATCCCGGGCCTGGCCTCTGATTAATGCAGGTTGTGTCTAATAACAGCATTTAGCTGTGACCATTCACAATATAGCATGGCCTCTTCTTGTGCCTTATTGGTTAAATAACTTATCTTTTTAAATAGCTTCCTACATCAACATGTTTATAACAACTTCAGCTGCATGGGCAAATTTTCGTTTTGACATTGAAAAATTAAGGAATTGTCCTAATGAGAATTTGATGACACTTTATTTTACAGTGTCCTTACTTTACCATTATACATAATTACATGCAACTAACCCTCAACCAAACCCTAATCCCAATTTAACCCATAGCTAAGTGTTGTTAATTAATATTACTCAGTTCCTAATAATTACACTGTAACAATGACACCTTAAAATTAAGTGAAACTGAGAATTTTTATAATTTCATGTCTTGATAATCATCATGGATCAAGACAACAGACATTCAGACAGAACAACACACAATTATGAACTAAGAAATTATCCCTGACCAAGTCCTACACATAAATGTTTCAAATTGAACCAAAACGTTCTATATTTACCCAGGCCTGATGTACTGGTGCTTTGAACAATCTAGAAACTAATAATCTGATCTTGGAGATTTTAACCAGAAAAAAAATTGTTCTTGATATTGAGAAAGTGATTTGTTGAACTTAAGAACCATTGAATAACTTGTAATAGGCTTTATCCCCAAACAGGCCCCTTATCTTGTAAGATAAACAAGAAAAAAACAAAAAACAAAACTTTATTGTTAGTTTTAAATAGCTTTAAAAAACCTTTAAATAGTTATAGCACGAATGTCATTTCTCGTGGCATTTATACGCCAAAAACAGTTTTTGCGTGTACATGGTACGCGTTTTTCGCGTGCATATGATACGCACTTTTTGGCGAGGTAATTTGCACGCACTCCCCTCCCCCCTCCCCCCTAAACCTACCCCAGGGCAGGGTTTTTTAGTGCGTAGAATATGCACGCAAAAACCATTTTTGGCGTATAAATGCCACGAGAAATGGCATTCGTGGTATAGATAGGCTATACGCATTTTCATGAGACTGTGTTGGATTCGCCACCTGCATTTCTCAAAGCAGTCATTTCCGTCTCAGCTCTGATGACATATTCTTTAACACTCTCACTGGGCCCAATAATAACCTGTTAGCAGACAGATAACACAAGAAATACATTGTATCTTTCTCAACATCCAGTCGACTGGGATATTTTATTTAAACAAAACAGGCGCAGTCACTTACCTTGTGTGATTGTCTGTCTGTCTCACGAACATAACACAACTGGGAAGAAAAATACAGCATAATATTATTTTTATACATCTTAACAATTATATTTTCTCATTTGTCATGAATTGTCCACTACATTGTCTGAAAACGGCCAACAGCCTTATCCATCTTGACTACCATCAAAATAACGTGTCATGAAAACAAACCAACAGCCAATGACGTGATTTAGTAGTAAAGCTGTAGAAATATTTTTGTCACCTCGTTTTTTCTCACCGTCCGTCGTTGGTCTCAGGTTGCAGTCAAGGAGGAGCTGAGATCCTCCCGTGGGCCTGTGCTGGAAGCTGCTCCTCACATATAAAGCGCTTCCCAATGCCGGAGGAAACAGTGAATCACAGCTTCAGAAGAGGGAGTCGATCTCTCTCACACAGTGCTCTTCAACCACCAGCTGCTCAGTCAAAGTCATTTCTCACTGCGCCTTTACTTTGATTTAGATTCAATACGGAAAGAAAATCTCCAGGTCACATTCGCGCCAGAGAAACAAAGTTTCAATAAAAGGGGAAGGTGAAGTTTTGAGAGCGCACATGGCTGCTTTGATAAGCGCGTATTCGTCCTGGCCGGAGAGCTTTGAGTGCTCTGCGGGAAACGCGGACGTACCTGACGGACACACCTCTCACAGAGCTCCCGCGGACAAGGTGTCGGAGCCGCGCATCAGGAGACCCATGAACGCCTTCATGGTGTGGGCCAAAGACGAGCGCAAGAGACTCGCAGTGCAGAACCCAGATCTCCACAACGCCGAGCTCAGCAAGATGCTGGGTAAGACATTATCATTATTATTATTTGTCTAAAAATTACTATTAATATCAACATCTCATTATTATTATTATTATGATTAATAAAGGAGATTACTATTGGCAAGTTTTCCGAGACTTCATTGTGAGACATTATTCTCTGTTACACAGTTGTTATGTATTGATTACAGAAAGTGGGATGTTTAATCTATTCTGATTGTAGCTAATAATTGTAAACTAATTGTAGACATAAGTTAAAATACTTTTTGTTAGCGGAAAGCACACAGGGAGCGTGAATCTGTCCGAACCTGAATTGAAAACAAACTGAAACAAAACCGAAGTAAATGAAGCAGTCAGCGTGAGATGCGGCACATTTTTAGATGGTATTTAATTTTATTTAGATCAAGGGCATATTTATCATTTCACAAAGTTGAGAGACTTTTTCCCCAAATAGTCCACTAGGCCTTTATAAATCTGTAAAAAATAATTTGTTTGGTAAAAAAAAATTAACGTAAAAATAATATGGAATTTTTAAATGTATAAATAACATACAAATACTTTTAAATTCATTCATTTGAAATCAGTCTAATCTTCAGGTTTGCTTAAGAATTAAAACAAAAATTAAAAACTTCATTGGATAATTAATTAATAGAAGTTTCGGAACTATAATTTGCATGTGTGAGTCATTTCTGTTTTTTACTACTACATGTTTTCTCTACTGCTCTGGTTTTTAAAACACTTTCAAGTTTAAATTATGAACTCAATATAACTACTGCCAATATTGGAATTCAAACATTATAAAATGAATGCCAAGCAACAAATAATGTAGGCCTACCATTAAAAAGTTTTAAATACCGTGGTGCAAATTTCATTTTTTTTTTGTAACTGACATTATAAACAATTATAGTGGATGATTATTGCTTATGAAAAAAATGCTTATGAAGACATTAACCTAGCTTTGTCTCCTGCAGAATATAAGCAGACAAACTAAATGTGGCTCTGCATATAATAAACCATGTAATTATGTTGTGTTGGTGCTAATGTGATTGTCAAGCTATTAGTTTGTAATCTCAAAAACTCAACATGGATTCTTTTAAAAAAAAACATTATTAAGTCTAATGTGTCTGTTCTTTTTGTGTCTCCAACAGGAAAGTCATGGAAAGCTTTAACTCCTCCGCAGAAGAGACCGTACGTGGAGGAAGCGGAGCGTCTGAGGGTTCAGCACATGCAGGACTACCCCAATTATAAGTACCGTCCCCGTAGGAAGAAGCAGCTGAAGCGCATTTGTAAACGCGTGGACCCCGGCTTCCTCCTGACCACCCTCGGTCCGGAAAACTCCCTCCCGGATCCTCGCTGCTGTCACCCCCTGGATAAAGACGACGAGAGCGGCGTGAGTGGCGGCTTCGGTTCTCCAAGCGCAGCTCTACCCGGCGTCAGGGTCTTCAGAGATCCCGCCAGTTCCAACAGCAGCTTCGACACGTACCCGTACGGCTTGCCCACGCCACCTGAGATGTCACCTCTGGACGCCGTGGATCACGAACACCAGTCCTACTACTCGTCCTCCAGCTCAGTCTCCACCAGCTCCTGCTCGTCTTCCACCTCTTGCCCAGACGACAGGCGTCCCACGCCGGCGCACATGAGCAGTCCACCCCCTTACCATCCCGATTACTCCCAGCAGGCACCTCTGCACTGTGGTCACATCCAGATGTCCCACCAGGGAAGTGGAGCGACCTTTATCCCAGCACATCCACTGTCCTATTACAGCCCTTCGTTCCCACAGGTTCAGATCCATCATGGGCACCAGGGGCATCTCGGCCAGCTTTCACCCCCTCCAGAACAGGGGCACCTAGAGGGTCTGGACCAGCTGAGCCAGGCTGAATTGCTAGGTGAGGTCGACCGAGATGAGTTCGACCAGTACCTAAATTCCACCAGTTATCACCCCGAGCAGGGTGGGATGACAGTCACGGGACACATCCAGGTAACGCCGGCTTCCGTTTGCTCAAGCAGCGCAACGGAAACCAGTCTCATCTCTGTACTGGCCGATGCCACGGCAGCCTACTATAACAACTACAGCATTTCATAAACGCCAAAACAGGGACAGTTGACACAGACAGAGACTGTGGGCTCGACGTGGGTCAGCAATATGACTGGCAGGTGAAGGGAGGGGGGGAGCGGAAAGAGAAGCTACAGGAAGTCAAAGGACACCTCAGGGATGCATAGATAAAAAACAAAACTGAAGTTCATTCCCATCTTTGTTTCCAAAAGGAGAACGGAAGTAAAAAAAAATTGGACAAACATAGAAATGCTCTCATATCTTGCCACAAAAGCATGTACATATGCGATGAAGCTTATTTATATATCGAATTGCTTTGCATTAAAGCTTATTGTATTGTTTTTTTTTTCAGTCCAGATATATTCAGTTGTTTTGTTTTTTTAAACCTCAAATGTTTTACCTCAAGAATTATTTAAGTGAGGCTGTTCTCTTCCTTCATAAGACATTATTTTGAAGGAATTTTTGCCTTTTTTCTCCCTTTACATTCATTTAAAAAAAATATATGTATACTCATAAACAGTTCAAAGAATAATAATAATAATAATAATGAATACTTGTATGCCGATTTAGGTTTGCCCTATTAATTTAATTCAAATAAAATTTTGAGTTTATACATTTAGCATTCTCATTTGATGTCCACACAGATGCCAATACCGTAGGTCATTATTGATGTTTGTTGAACACCATTCTTGATGATGAGGTCTTTTGATCAATTGCATTGTGTTTGCCCATATAAGTACAACACAGTGATTCCGTCTGTAGGTCTGCTGGACTTGAGAAAAAATGTTGCAGATGCTCATCATTTTGTGATATATTAAGTGAATGTTCTGACGTCCCATCTGAATTAGATGTCGCTAAATAAAAACACAATATAAATACAGGAGAAAAGACTCTTGCTTTTGTAATTACAGGTAGATCAAGATTTTCAAAGGGGGAGGGGGTCTCTGCTAGTAGTAGTAGTAGTAGTAAACTGCTTATTACAGTTTTTTTTTAAGTGTAACTATTATTATTCGGCTCTTTTTCAGTTTCATTATTAAGATAGTGATAGTATGACATTTGAAATTTTGAGATTTTACAAAGCTTTTAGACAAAGTTTTTTTTTTTCATGTATAATTATCATTAGTGAGTATAGAAAGTGATTTATGGAAAGGTACAGAATACTTATAACTGTTCATGGATATTGATCCACAGTTATTTGTTTAGAAATATTTTATTTGTTTTATCTATAGTTTTTGAGGTTTTTTACATGCATTTTTTCCAGATCGTTTCAAGAAGCTGACCTGTAATTTCTCGGTGTTGTGCGTGGCGGGCCGTCGCCATAACCACTGGCGGTATCCACCCTGCGTTCGCAGTTGGCTATCAGCAACACCCATTATACACTCAGTTTCACTCCTCCGCGGATCAGAGGATTAGTGTAAAACAGGCTCTGCTGTTTTTCTCTCCGCCTCCATCTCCACGGGCCTTTTGTTTCCCTTATTCTGGGTGCGTGTCTTAAGCAGAACGCTGAAACTCCCCTCCTACCCTACCTTCGCCCCCCTCAGCTGCCCGTCCTATCTTGCTGATGCAGACTTTCATAATCTCTGCGAAATAAATAAATACACCTCATCCCCGTCAACTGTTTTACACGTTCAGTTTTTTTTTTTGTTTTTTTTCGCTCCTTCTGTCTCTCTCCCTCTCTTTTCAAATTCCTCCTCTTTTTTGATAAAAGGAATCTGAAGTGGGGGAAAGAGGGAGGCGGTGGCGGGCGTTTGACAAATCCTGGAGTCTGGCTTGGTCTTCCTGCGTTTTTTGGGATCGGTTGAGTCGTGTTTCTTGTAAAGAGGATGTGGCGGAGAAGCAGTGTTTCCTGCCTGATAAGAGTAAAGCCTCTCTCCGTCAGGATGTTTGGGCCCCGGCCGGTCCCCGCATTAAAAGAGCCCATGGCGAGGGAAAGGGAACCTGCTGTTCATTTTAGCTGGGAGGAAACATGGCTCTCGTTGATTAATATCTCACACTGTGGTTTTTTTAGGACTTCGATTTGACCCTCTGGTTTGGCCACACACCGGGCTCAGCACAGATTTTCTTAATCTGTCTCTGTCACTGGCTCCAAAGACAAGTGCTAGCCCGTGGTTTATGATGTGAGTTGAGGCGTCGTTATGTGTTGTTATGAAAGGTTTCGGTCAAAGCACATTCATCATGTGACTCCAATTTCTTTTCACAACTGAGGTTGGTATTAACAGCCTGTGACTGAATGCTTAAGGTTTGGGAGAAAGGGGGTGATTGGGGCCACCAGCCGCAGGCCGAGGCCTGAATCGTGGCTTTTGATACAGGCAACTTTTAGGGTCAGAGTAAGGGCCCAGCCCAGTACAACCAATTCTGGCCTTGAGGAAGGGCATTGTGTCATGGTTGGTAACCATGCACTTCAACATCAATGCATAATTTTAATAGTTTGATTTCAGTTAGACTGACAACGTAATTTATCTACAACTGACCTCACCAAGACATTTTAATGAGGTAATGTGCCTTGTGTGTTTACGTGATTCAGCATGAAAGTGAAGTTGCAATATATCCCAGTAAAACGGCTTCTTGAACAAGAAAAAATGTTTGGCGGGACTTGATTTTGTCCATTGAGAATTGATTGGATCGTTGGATGGTTGTGGTTTGCAATTGGTCAATCTCATGTGAGTGACATTTTGCGACAAAATATGGATGTCTGAATTCACAGTACTACTAAAAGTACTACTAAAAGAGTAGGCAAAAAGTACCTGGATGACCTACTACTACTGTTGAGTTTCTGAAGTGTGCATATGATGGACACTTTACTATCCCATGAGGCCACATGAGAGGATTTGTGAATGTTACGGTAAGTCAAGTGATATTGATTGATATTGATAGACGTGTATTCTACATGCCAAACGGCTCATCGCTATTTGGAAAAAGACAAAACTGATTGACTGATTTTCACAGCAGCGTTGTGTTTTAGTGCTTAAAAAACATTTGCCCAAATCTTCGAAAACGCTAGTCCGATCGAGACGAAACCACCGTCAGAAGTTTGAAAACATAGGTCGCTGGCTAAATGCGAATGCCCAAATGTCAAAATAATTTGACATGTTTTTTCACATAAATGTCTATAACTCCGAAGCGAATTGAGATATTTTCACCAAAATTGACACAGTATGGCCATACTCTGAAGACACATAAAAAATAGTGGGACTGAGCCTCTTGGTGGCGCTATAATAGAAAAAAAAAAAAACATGAAATACCCATTGACTTTAATACAGTATTGTGATGTTAAATGCTACTTAACAAATGCATTGCTGTAACGAAAACATTCTGCACATTAGTTTAGCAATGCCCTTCAGCCGTATACTTATTCACGATACAGCACAGCCTCTCGTATATTGCTTACCTAAAGGATGGTCATTAATTGCTTTTCTGAGGTAGGCAGGCTAGGCCTAAATGTAACGTGTCATGTTTACATACTGTTTTATTGACTTAATGCATGGGAGTTGGCAGTGTTTTATCAGTTGTTTTTCATTTTACTCGAGTGAACGTTTAGTGTGAACCGATAGGGGAATCATACATTCAAATTCATATTGCACATGCCAGAGAAAAGATCGTTTATGTGAGCCTGTTTGATTCTCAGCTAAAACAACGATGTTAGCGTTAGTCGCGTTAGTTCGCTCGTACATCTCATTCTCAACTAGCCTATTAGCACTATTTTAATGATATTTCACTGGACACATTACCTCATAAAAAAAATAATACATAGGAAGATTGTGTGAACCGTTTAGGTGAGTGTGTTTGATTTTTTTTTTTTTCTCAGCTGAGTGAGCGTTTCACACAGATGAATTGTTACTGTCTGGGCATATTTCAAAATATTATACTATAGTTTAATGATTTCACTTGACATATTAACTGCATTAAAATAAAATTATTAAAACAAAATTATTTAATAAATTAAAACAATAGGTGTTCTGCAGTTAAAAGTTAAAAGCCTTTACATTTTTCACCACTTCTCATAAACACCACGGCCCATTGTAGTCTCTGAGGAGACTGCTGACTTTCAGGAAACCAGGGCAAACAATCAACTCATCTGCAACAATCTTTTCCTGTGTGAAACTTGAATAATTCTCCATGCAACATACTAAGAATACACTGCACTCAATGTCACCCACAGAATGGCCTCTATTTCCATGTTCTTCAAATAGGCCAGAGTGTTTGGCTACAGTAGCTCTACGGTGCCTGGGAATTGTGCAGAATGTTTTGTTATGTGTAAAATTAAGTAAAAAAGTTAAAAATGAAAACAACCATCTTGTCTATTTGAATATCTTTTATGTTTACTTTTGGTGTACAATGTCCATAAAACAATTTCACACTGTTTTAATTTATAATCCATCTTACTACAACCCTTTAAGATGCCCTTTAATAAAAATCCCCCTTAAGTTTTAATGGGTTGTTTTTCTCTCTGATTGCTCCCTGGATCAGCTCCAGTCTCAGGTCAGCGCTGTGGAACGTGGATGTCAGGTAGTCCCAACTGTTTCCTGTTTCCCCAGCAGTGACGTCACATCGCTGGGCAAATATGCAAGAGAGCAGTCCAGCACGCGCCATCTTCCTCACAACGGGTATCTGGTGGTGTGACGACCTTGCTGAGCACATCTGGGTAAAGTATTAAGTGTCCTGAGGGAGAGGAGGTCAAGCATATTGACGCCCCTGTCGGAGACATACTGGCTCGAGCTCTGACCGGGTGTGGACAAAACCCACCTGATAACGTCATCCCATGCTAAAATGAGTTAGACAGCACATACTGTAAATTGATTTTATTGACTCAACAATAGAATATTGTGCTTTTTATTTTGACATTAATGCAGGCAGATGCAAATTGTTCTGGGGGAAAAAAATCCTTGACCTAAATAAACCAGCAAATGCAACTCCATTTATTTATAGCTAGTATAGTACTCATACAATAACCGTAATGAGATGACTAATGCAGAAGCAGATAATCATGAAGATTTTACAGCACACGCCGCTACATCAGTCATTTCCTGCTTTTCTTCAATGTGAATTCACACTATACAATCAAACTAGATTGTATTAAATTATAGCGCTTCAGTAAAAATACAGTATGGCAACTACTAGGCCTACTGCTAAAAATATACAAAAAACACCCACACTACGTGTTGGGCTGGCTTGAAGCTTTGTATTATTTGTGTCACAGGTAAAAAACTAGATGTGTGGCGAGAAATGAACGATATAACAACTTTTAATAACAATAATCACTACACACATTAAACATTACACATGAGGATGGCAATCAAAGAGACAGGGAATAGGTGAGCAGTAATTAGAAACCATGGAAACAAAATAAGAGTGACGAAGCCATGACCTAAAAATGAACATGATTCAGAAACAAAACAAGACATGAACGTGACACAATATCAGCGGGGAGAGACATCCCAACGAACGATGAGAAAAGAAGTTTTAAGGTCTATATTCACCTCAGTGTAAAAAACAAAAAAGGTAAATATAAGATATACTGTATATTTTCACATTTTGAAATATTAAGGCACAGTTATGAGAAATAAAGTTCCTGAGTTGGACGAGCCATGAAGTAAAGATGGCGGAGGGTAGAAAGATTGCTGCTATGACTGCTATTCTTTATTAGTTTTATCTAACGGCTCAGCTCACCTTGTCTTGTAGTCCATATTTTATATGAATAATCTTTTGAAGTGTATTGTATGTTTCATACACAGCTAAAATAGCCTGTATTTGACTGGACATCATTTTGTCTTTAATAAGATTTACCCAATAAATAGGCAAGAAAAAAAAAAACTTGGCTGAGAAGTGAGAAGTGAGAAGTAGGAAATTTCCAATAGTACGTGAAAGGCAGCAAAAGTCACATAA